GGCTCACTTTCATAGAATATGTCATGAACTATGCTATATGGCTTCTACGTAACATCTCATTTAATCATTAGCACCACCATGAAGCAGGAATTATTATTCTCACTCGACAGATCAAAGGTGGTGAAGTTTAATGGATCAAAATTTGCTGTGGAGCCAGATAGACCTGCACTGTGCTTTTGCTAGTTGTCTGACTCTGGGAGTATTGCTTAAATTCCCCACCCTCAGTTTCCCCATGTTAAACTGGGGCCAACAACTGTGCTGATTACAGTAGGCCAAATGTCAGGAGTAGATGTGACAATTAGTGCAGTGCTTTGTATACTGTAAACATTTAACATTCATTAGCTACATGAGAAAAGCTTTCGGTATCCCTGGGGCACTCTCTTCCTAGAAATATTGTCCATTAATAAAATGCTAATGATGCCTATCATATGGCCGGTTATAGATTAATTGGAAAGATCCCAAAATAGTTTGCACCACTGCTCTGCTCTGTGTTACATAAGGCACCTTTCCCTCTGTCTCCCATGAATCAAGCAAATGGAAAGTATAATAATGACATTTTCAGCTCTGCAGTGCATTTCCCAAGAGAGAATTGAAGGTGCCCTAACAAGGCGGAGTTTCCTATGAGAGCAGGCAAGCAAGCCCCCCCCCCCCCCGCATCAACACCCCTGCGGTGCCAGGGATGGGGCACAGAAGACCAAATGGCTGCAATGGTAGACGGAACCGCTTCAAAGCCACTGAAGGAAACAACGTGAAAGCAGGGCCAAATGTTGATTATGTTGCTGCAAATGTCAGGTAGTTCCCGGGCCATTGTGAATAAAGGCAGGGAAATCAGAGGCCAGAATTTCAGCTAAAAGTCAGCCCTGGCTGGAGATGATGAGCAGGTTCAGGAATTGCTGTCAGGATGCATTAATAGTGCCTATAAATGGATAAATTTCTAGGTATCCACCACACACATTTCTTAAATGCCTTATCATTCTTGTCCCTTGGCCAGCATCCAGAAGGAGGGGAGCAAGCAAAAGGAGGGCAAATAGTTGGCTTTCCTCGTGTGAGTTCAGGTAATTCACACTAGTGAGGACCAGCTCTCTCTCCCAGTCTGTTTCTGACCATCTCGGTCCTATTACTGACCTGGGGCTCCTGGCCAGCTGGGTGAAAATGACTGGTGTAGAATGAAAAGTTTAAGACAAATTTTAAAAGAGCAATCAAAAGTTGGAAAAGTCTGCTTCATTATCTATTATTTTATTTCCTCTGGAAACTTGGCAAAATGAGCATTCAAATGGGTGTATCTAATTTGGAGGTCTGATTACAAACTGATGCAACTGATTTGATGTTTGTGTGTTTAATTTCTACATCCAAATTAATGTTGTTTCCTTGAGAGAAAATATTTAGAGTCTACTCATTTATTTCATTACGGAGTTGATTTCCAAGTTTGTGAAAGGTTCTTTTGAATGCCTCCGGAGGTAGCAAGACTTCATTCTCTGAGGAGGGGGCTCCCCTTTGGAAATGGTGGCCATGTATTTAGCACTTGATCTCCTAAATAAAATAGGTAATCCAGCGTGGTAAAACATAGCAGGTCAAAAAGAAAACTTGGAGAAAACAAACAATCCAATTACAAAATAAGCAAAGGATCTGAATAGATGTTTTTCCAAAGAACACATCCAAATGGTCAATAAGCACAGAAAAATGTGCTCAGCATCATGAGCCGTCAGGGAAATGCAAGTCAGAATCACAATGAGGCACCACGTCACACATATCAGAATGGGTATAATCAAAAAGACAATAACAAGTGTTGGCAAGGATGTGGAGAAGTTGGAACCCTCGTACACTGCTTATGGGAATGTAAAATGGTGCAGCTGCTTTGGACAACAGTCTGGCAGCTCCTCAAATGGTCACATATGGAGTTATCATATGACTCAACAACTCCACTCCTAGGAATACACCCAAGAGAAATGAAAACAGGTCCACACAAAACTTGAGCACAAACGTTGAAAATAGCATTATTGATAATAGCCAAGTTTCAGAAACTATCCATCCACTAATTCATGGATAAATAAAATGTTACACACAGGCAAGTGAATATTACCTGGGAATAAAAAGTTGAAATGTGGACACAGGCTTACAACATGGGTCAACTTGAAAAACATTAGCCTAAGTCAAAGTAGCCAATCGCAAATAACCGTGTATGAAATAATTCCATTTATAGAAAATGTCCAGAACAAGCAAACAGACAGAAAGTAGATCAGAGGTTTCCAAGAGGTGGTGGTTGGGGGTGTTAGGAGGAAATAAGGAACGACTTTAATGGGCGATTTCTTTCTTTCTTTTTCTTAAAATTGAGGAAATATTGGCTTTAACATTGTATAAGTTTCAGGTATACATTATAATTCAACATCTATATACTCTACTGCACGCTCGCCACCCAAAGTCAATTTTCCATGCTTCAATTCTTATTATAGCAAACCTATACCCAAAATATTTTAAGGCAAACCCAGCTGTCTTTAGAATTTCTATTTTCAGTCAAAAAAAAAAAAACAACCCACAAAACCTTGCCAAGTTTTTGTTTTATGTTTTAAAAAGAAACCATCTTTTTGATAAGGCTATGGATTTTCTAAAGGCTGCCTAACATGAAATGAGTTTCAACATTAACATGTAAAGGACAAGCAATAAGAAAGGCAATACGAGCACAGACGAAATATCTAAGGGCTGGAGAACGCCACCTCTTCTAAAGGGAGAAGCGTGGAAGGATTCAAAATGCACAGCTTTTCAAGGCTAAAGGAAGTGACAACAACTGAATTGAAAAGGCTGAGCCTAGCATTACCTTCCCAGAACACAAACATATATTTAGCTTAATAGACTTGAGTACTATCTCAGGAAAAATCTTATATATTATGCATCTAGGGCAATGAAAGCTGTAGAAAATGATTTTGCAAAGCAAACAGGCTTCAGGCTGACAGCAACAGAAAGAAAAGAGAGTCCAAGGCACATGTGATAAATTCAGGTCTCTTTAATATATCACAGGAAGGAAACGGAATTGCGGAAGAAACCTCAGATACTAAATAGAACCTGGCAGAGCGACGCCTATGATGGAAGCTTACAAAATGTATATTTTCTGATTATCACTGTAATGCGAATTTGTACTAAGAAAACTGGAAAATACAGAAAATACAAAGAAAAAGTTAAAAGCACCCACAATCCCACCACCCATAGAGAACTAATATTAAAATATTGGCATATTCATTTGTAGCCTGTTTTTTGTTTACATATAAAAATATGAGTTTTCCAAAAGTGGGCTCATATGGTAAATAAAATTTTATATATATATATATTGTTTTCCCCTACTTCCTACTACTTCTTGAATACTTTCTCATGGTATTATATATTCTTTGAAGATGGAGTGTAAATGACTGCATTACACCAGATCTTATGATATTTTTTGTTTTGTTTTAGAGAGAGAGGAAAAGAAGGAGAAAGAGGGAGAGAAACATCAATGTGAGAGAGAAACATCAACTGGTTGCCTCCTGTACAGGACCTGACTGGGGGTTGAACCTACAACCCAGGTATGTGCCCTGACCAAGAACTGAACCAGTGATCTTTTGGTTCACAAGATAATGCCCAACCAACTGAGCCAGGGCTAGATCTTATTAATTTAAGCAGAACCACTTGATTCCTTCCATATTGCTGGACCTCTAGGTCGTTTCAAATTTTTCAGTGTTATAAATAGCCCTGTGCCAGACTTTCTTGTGGAAAGTCTTTGAATCTCTTTTATTTACTTCTTCAAAGAAAATGAAATGTATATAAACATGTCAAATGCAAATTTAACTTAGTCAATGTACCAGGACCTATAAATTTACCAGTGGGAGTCTCCGGAGACCAGCACCAATAATGCAGAACAAATACACAATACTATTTTCCTATCACCCGAAGTTTGCATTTACCATCTGGAGCGGGTAGCTTTCAGGCAGTACAGTACTTCCTCTAGGCAAATTGACTATTACGGGGTTAATCTCAATGCAATAACATAAAACCTGGCTGACCCAGATTTCTCCAATATCAGCATGCATGCAATTACAATATTCTATGGATTGAAAATACCCAAGGCTTAAAGATACACCTCTTATTATCCTTTCATTTAAAGTGATATATAATGGGCATTAAGACAAAACAAAGGGTTATAGCCAACAGAGGTTGACAGCAACCACATCTTATGTAGACCTACCTATTCCACACAGTGCAACTTAAGGTTTTCTTCAAACTCCAGCTGCACGCTCTCACTTCCAGTGACAGGACGCTACGTGCTCTCAACATACTGAAGTTATTAACGGTTCTTGTTCAGAATTACACGGTATCAACATTCCAGGTTTAAATCCCCTATAGCCTATTTTTTTTAAATGGTTGTATTTTCAAGATTCTAAGTAGTTTCTCACAAACTCTAACGTGTGCGTGTACTTACATATATATGTAGAGACACATTCTTCTAAAATGCTTTTCTCCCATCAGTCAGTGGGAAGCAAAGTAAAATGAAACATGACTTAAATTTTGCGTCACAGGAACTATGGGGTCACACAGAGCCCAAGACCCTCTCAGTGCCGGTGGTCAGATGAAGCCAGCTGGGGCCGCGGTGCACAGTTGTGCCGATGGCCCCCCGGACAACTGCAGGGGGTCCTGACCTCTGTGACTGGTGCTCTCTGCGGGTGTGCAGGGCACAACCTACACAGCTGTGTGTGATGACCTTGAAATTGGCTGAGACAACACTGTTTGCCCATCCATTACTCATTTGTGCATCCTTCCCCCTACTGAGCTCTGAAAAAGAGGCATTTCGGGAAGAAAGTGGTCTTTAAACCTGTATCCTTTTTTAAATAAAGAAAATGCTGCAAGCGAACAAACAAACAACAACACCACCATAACAAAACAATGACAGTGTCTCCCCGGCGCCCCTGTGTCACAAGGGTTAGAGATTCCTCCCCCCAGTCCCCCCTTCCATCCACCCATAGAAAGCGGCAGGGTACCTTGTGTGAGTAACTGTAGGTTTCTGACTTCCTCTCGCACTTTCAGCTGGAGCACCTGTTGCAGGATATGCTGCCGGAGGCTTTCCTGGGCAATCCCCATTCGCTCCAGCTTTTTGTCAGTGAGTCTCAGCAAGGCTCGTCCTGCAGGGTTTCAGGAAATAAAAGGAAAAGCAAATGAACAAGGCCCGGAGAAGGGTTTCCATCTTAGCCTTGGCTAATTCTGCTGTAGCAGAAGTTTCCATCTAAACACAGACCCTTTAGGACACAGGGCCCCCATCATTCTACCCGACGGGATGGATAATCTGGATGAAAAAAAAAAAAACTACACAGATTAAAAAAAGAGAAGCCCAATTTGTATCTAATATTGGCAATCCCCAACTGACCCACAGACTGAGTTAAATAAAATAGCAGCATTTCAACCTGGGTATCTGGGTCATGGATTGCAGGTTGCCATAGAAACAATGCTCTTCCTTGGGTCATGGCTGTGAGGCTGGCCCATGCCACTGAGAAATGAGTTGAAGTTCTGGATGCTCCAACTGTGGTTGGAGAGGAACTGCAATGCTGTTGAACCCAGGCTATAGTAAAGTTTCTGGGAAATACACATTTACAGTTCCAGTTTCAACCTGCAGCATGAACTTCCCTGGTGTGGGGTTGCAACTCCAGCTGGTGGGAGCCAAGCCTTCATCCCGATCACTGGCCTCAGGCAAGGGTCCTAGCAGTGGTGAGGGCAAGAGGAGGAGGCTGAGGGCGAGCATCTGCAGACTGCAAAACTTGGAGGCTCGAGGGTGAATGTCTGAAGTTTGCACACACCCCAGGCCCTAGACAGCCTGGTGCGGCTTCCTTTCAGCTCCTTTCTTTCCCCGGAAGGTCTGCATGCTTCCCTTGTTCCTGTGGCTTCCATCAGAGTCCCAACTTTTCCCCTCCTTGCGCTTGCCTTGAAACAAGCATACCTCCACTGTGAGGGCTGAGACAAGGAATACAGAGAATGACTGCTGTCAAATGCCCACGGCACCAGCCTGTGCTCTCGCCCCCAAAGCCCCAGTCATCGCACTGCAGGTCTTTCCTCAGTTGATGAAGAATAAACAGAGGCCACTACCTGTGATCCATGCTAAGTCTTCAGGTGTAACAGCACAAACACTTCAGAAGATAAATGGTCTACCTCTTCACGCAAGACACCCAATAGTCAGAAGGCGGGGTCAATTAGCACACCGAGAATCTTATAGACAAAAATCTGTCACTGTTTTCCTTGGATGGCTTCTAGAGTGCCATCCAGGTCCTGATTTCTGGAAAACCTTTACAGTAATCAGATAATTTCCAGGAGCAAATGTCCCATCGACCTCCTAGCCCACCCCCTCCTGATGACCACAGAAGAAAAGAGTGTCCCCAATGACTGTGGTGCTGCTTTTGATGCAGGTGTCAGGAGAGTGATAAGTAGTCGATTATTGGTCACACCCGTTTTTACAGTTTCTATGGTCACTTTTTGTTGTTTACCATAGAAACCCAACTGTTCAGTCAACAAACATTTATTGAGCACTTACTATGTCCTAGGTTTACTCAGTGTGTTCTGCAGGCTGCTGCCTACACACCGAGGAATCAAGGAGGGGAAAATCAACTCAATCTCAGAAAAGCAGCGCCGCCTAGGTTTCCTGAGACCCCACACTGTTGTGCAGGTGATCTATAAACAGGTGATCTATGCAGGGGCCATTCGTGGACCCCGGGAGAGGAAGAAAGCACCGAGTCCTTCCAATGGACTGAACTCCTGGCCTTTTACTTCCTTCCCTTTTCTAGTGTTTATTGAGCGCCATGAATGCCTGACACTGTTCTGGGCGCTGGGATTATGGAGACAAGTGGTGTCTTCCCTCTCCAGTGAGTTTACCATTTAGTTTGAGAGACAGTATACAAACACACTGATACTCAGGGGCACACAGGGACCCCCACAGGCAGGACGGACTTATTAGAGTTTGAGTGGTTAGAAAAGGCCTCTCACTCAGAACAGCTAACACTGGAACACCTACAAGTGGCAACGCCAATGAGAGAAACGGCAGGAAGGCTAGTGTCACAAGGGCAGAGTAGACAGGACAAGAAATGGGGGTTGAAAGATGGGGGGGGTGCCAGATCAGACAGGGCCTCCTGGGCCTTGCTGAAGAGTTCTGGCTTCATTCTGAACGTGGAAAGGTTTGTGCGAGGGGTGACTTGGGCATGGTCCCCACGTAGTGGAAGGTTCTCCGTGGTCACCATGTGGAGGATGGGTTAGGGATCGGGAGGGAAGAGCAGAGGCAACGAGAAGAGTCAGCACACTGCTGGGGTCATCAAAACAGGAGGTGACGCTGCCCGGAACACGGGTGGCGGTGAAGGAGCGCAAAGGACTGGTGAGGTCCTGGACACATTCCGAAGGACTTTGGGTCCCTGGAAGTGGGCTATGAAGGAAAGCGCCATCGAAAGTGGCTCAGGTTTTCACCCTGAGCCCCCGGTGGCCCGGGTGTACTTTCAGTGCAGGGAGTAAAGCCACTGCTCCTCCAGAGGGTGAGTCGGAGGGAGGAAATCTCCTTAGTGTTTCTGCTGTTTTTTTTTTTTCTCTTGAGAGCACTAGGGATCTGGAGAAAGTAACGAAAAGGATAGAAATCAACAAGGGAGGACAGAATATGTTCTACTTTCTTCCCCAAACTGCTTTCTTTCCTTCGACACGATCCTCAAAGCCCAGAGCTCTGAGTTGACTGGAGGCGAACGCAGGCACACTGTAGCGGAATTCAGAGAAGAGGACCCTCTTATGACCCAAGCTCTGTATTCCTTCACCCCAGAAGGTGTCTTCAGTGCTAAAAATATCTTCCAGGTCCCCTTGTAGAAGTCCCAGCCAGGGACTACTCTGTGAAGAAGTTCACCCAGCAGACACGTGAATCTGACGCTAACCATCTTGGAAAATTAGAATTTTGCTGCAACTGAAGCTTGAATGCATATGTAAACTTTATTGTCTGGGACCCACGACAATGCCAGTGCCATGGGAATAAGTACTTTTCCTGTCAGGTTCCCTCTTGTCCCAAGTTCTCTATTGTCATCTATGTGCTGGTACATAGTGATGCTCAAGAAACATCTATTGATTGAATATGCTTAGTGCTAAGATGAATGTTGTCTTCGTTACTCACATACTGATAATCTCAAGGTCATCACATCATTGTCTTTTCTGCTGTAAGACACCTGATTGAAAACTGACCCTCAGACAGGACAACAGCCATGAGGAACTGAGTGTAGCCGAGCGGGAGGCTGCATTTCATTGGTGGCAACCACAGATACACATGCCAAGTGAAGGAACTAGAGAACTTGGGACAAGATGAGGACTTCACCTTCCTGCAGGCTTAACAACAGACAAGTGTCTCGTTCTATTTCTGTACAGGCACCAAGCGAGACTATCAGCCTTGCTGGATGGATGGGCAGCAAGAACAGGTGAGAGACCATCGATGCAGACAGGAGTGGATTCGTCCCCTGGGTTGCCATAACGAATCACAACACACGGAGGCTGAAACCAACAGAAATTTCCTCCACAGCGTCCTGGAAGCCAGGGCTCAGCATCAGGTTCATTGGGCTGCAGTCAAGGTGACAGCCAGGCCCCTAAAGTCCCTCTGGAGGCTGTAGGGAACTTTCCTTCCTGGAAACTCCCAGCGTTTGCTGGTGGCCACTCCCCTTTGTGACTCTGTCACTCTAACCTTGGCCTCTGTCCCGTGGGTGTGTCATCTCGCCCTGCCTCCTCTCTTATAAAGACACCAGGGACTCGGTTTAGGGCCTGAGTAACTAATCCAAGATCACCTCCTCGTATGAAGACCCTTAACTTAATCACAACTACAAAGATCCCTTTTCCTTCTAGGGTGACATTTACAGGTTCAGAGATCAGGACCTTACTCAGTTGACCTTCCGAGCAGGGCACAGGACTCATGGTGTCCACTCGGAGAGCTGCGTGCGGGGCAGGGGGAGCGACTCTCTGAAACCACACGAAATATGGGGGCGAGATTTAGGTTTCAACATGTATCTCCAACCTTCAGGTCCAATGTGGTCTTTGGTCTTTAGTGCAGGTACCTATACCCGCCCCCCTCATCTTTCCAGCTCAGACAATTGTCACAAAAGCCCTGTCACAGCTTTTCAAGATGAAAGATCACAAACCATAAAGCACAGGGAAATTTCAGGGTTAGCTGGAGGACATGCCTTCAGCCTGCCCCCTACTGGGAAGTCTCGGTACCACAGCAGGTGGTTGGGAGCCCACTTTTCCCAGAGAAGCGGCTGGATTACACACAGGACCTCTTTTCTGCTAGGAATAGAGGCCACTGTTCAGCTCCCCAAACAAATGGCCACTTGTTGGCTGGGTCAGCTCCAAACCTGCTCTCAGGTAAAGGCCAGCGCCCTACTTTGGGCCTGGCCGGGCCAGAGAAGCAGAGTGACAGGTGTTGGACATAAAAGCAGTGTTCTACCGCCTGAATCTGTGTTTCTCATCTCACCACCATTCCAGAATTGGAATTTCTGGAACAAAGAAATAAGGGGAGAGATGCAATTGCACAAGCATGAGCTCCAGAGCTAAAAGGCAGAGATGAGTGCGCCCAGAAAAGCACCTCCGAGTCTTCATTTCCCCACCTCTACCATGGGGATGAAAATGACACTATCTCCCGGGTGACTGTGGGGACCGGATGACATAACACACATGCCCTTAGCACACTGGCGTCACTATGAGGATACAGTTTTTGGATGGCTGAGAATGCTTCCTCCTTCTCTTCCTCCTCCTCATTGTAACAATGAGTACAAAAGCAAACAGGTATTAATCAGTTACTATGTGTTAAACGCTGTCCCAAGAGCTTTACACGCATTACCTCATTTTCAACAATTCTCTGCAGGTACTATTATTAACTATAATTAATTAAGAGCTAGCACACACAGCTAAAGGTCGAATGCATACGAAACTGCAGACCTGGGATGCAAATGCACACAGAAGCCGTGCCCGTAATCCCCTCCCTGAACTGCTGACCAGGGATTCCTCGAACAGACCTAAGGTGCTCCCCAAGCCCACTTCTGCCAGTTCTCACATGGGGACCCCCCGAGGGCAGGGGGGAGACCGATGGCCCGGACAGGTCCCTGCTTCTGATGACTTACAGGCAAGCAGTGCA